TAAAATACCCACAACTAAATCTTGTCTCGGGCTCTGTTTTTGGGGGTAATTTTTCTAAGGTATCATACACCACCTGCTTTCTTAAACAGAGAATATGAAATATGATTTTTCCTCTTTTTAATGCCATGTCTAAAACTATGATTCAGTAATTATGATTATCAATGATTGTTTTGTTAAGGAGTTTAGGAGTTACTAAGGAAAAAAGGGCTTTCTGCCTTGGAAGGCTCTGCTTTTTAGAGCTGTCCTGCCATCTGTTACTTCTTGTGGCAGCTACTCCTCAACGTCTATCCCTGTATCTTGCAGCTTATTAACCGCCCTGAGCTAGGAAATGATAGCCAAGCTTGTTAAAATTGTGTCTGAGATTAAGGGAAGTACATGAGCTGAAGTGCATACGCTTCAAGGGAAGGTAGTGTAAGGTAAAGTTTGGAACTCTGGAAACTAACCAAAAGATTGTAACAACCATGTGAATGCTTAATATAAAAAAAAAACAAAAACAAAAACCCTAAATGTTAGAGAGCTTTCTGGCTTTTTCTGGACCTATCATCCCCTCCCCTCACAAACTGGCAGTGGCCTTGCATAGCCCACATTCCCAGTACAGATGTCAGTACTGGAAGGAGCTGAATGAACTTTATTCTCAAAAAACTGTGGTGGTTGGTTCTAACCTGCTTGGTGGATTCTGGAGGACCAGCTCAAAGGGCCTGCCTTTGAACTGAACCTACCTCAGAACTCTCCCAGGGCTCGGGGGCTACCCAGGGGGTATTTGTCAAAAACAATTTAAAGGCAAAATGTGTTTATTATTCTTTGCTTAGGGTAATGGATAACAGTTGGGGCAAACAACATACTAACCAAAAAGATGTGGAGGAAAAGCTAGGGAATGAGAAGCTTTGGGGAATAAGGGCTTTGAATAGCTCTGACAAGTTCCTGAGAATTTAGAAGGCTACATGCATGCTCAGGGCCGAGCATAGGCTCAGAAAAGACCTGGGCAGACCCTCAGTGACCTGTGTGGCTCACCTTCAAGCACTACTGAAGTAGGCTAAAGCAGAGTTGTAAACTGGCTGAGGGTAACAGGTGTGCCCCAGCACAAACTCTAGTTCCTGAAACAACCTTCTCTTATTTCTCTTACCTGTGCCTGTAATCAGTGTCACAAAGTTTTCCAAGCCCTTTCCTTGGCCAAATTTCCTTTCTGCCATGGCGGCACAGTTGCCATCATTGTCTACCCACACGGGGAGATGCAAAGTGTCAGATAGGGGCGTCCTGAGGTCCACAGAGTTCCATTCTTGAATCAGTTTGGTTGAATGCAGCACAATTCCTTCCCGAGGATTTACACGGCCACCTGTGGAAATACCTGAGCTCCACCACAAACACAAGGAAAGATAATCCTAATTAGCAACCTTAGAGAAGTGTGTCAACTTTCTGGGCTTGTAGCACAAATTAATTCACCCAACATCTTTTAAGACAAACATTACCAAGGCCTGCAAGGAAATGTCAAGCAATTCTGAGCTAAATCTGTAGATTCCCAGATTTATAGACTACTAACACTTCTCCCAAAATGCATGTTGGTGTCCTGGAAAGACCCCTGGCTTGGGACCAACAGACAGGACCTAGAGCCATCTATGTACAGGAGAGCGACCTGATGTTCAGTCATGCATTAGAACTCAGTTAATTTTGTACATAAAATGAACATTTCTTGGATATATAATTCACAATCTTACCTACTCCCAAAATTCTGCAGTTCAGTTTTACAGCTTCTGCTGCAGCTTCTACACACATCTGTAGGATTAAATTAATCCTTTCTTCATAGGTTTTAGGATTGAACTGAGTATACTTCTTAACTATTTCACCCTAAAAGAGAAATAAACGAAATCTGTCTCAATAGTCTTAGCTAAGAGCATACACAGTGAATCTTTTGACCTTTTTCATGATAAATCAGACATTGCCTAGGACAGTACTACAGATTTAGATGACTGCTTCAGAAGGGAGCCACCGTGGCTTAGGCCAGCCTTAGGATACACCCAAGTAATTTCCTGGGAAGCCATCTGGACATATGGCTGTTGAAGCAATGACAACTCCAGAGCCAACCAGATGGGCCCCTCTCTTAAGCATAAGGTGAATACTGGCTAATCTGAATCTTCATTAAAAGGTCATATTTTACTTTCAGGTTGATGGAATTTCCTTGCTTAAATACTGAGGCAACTAAATAATTATCCTAAGTAGTTAAACTTTAATCAGTTCAATTTTGAAAGAGCTGATGTTTCAAAAATACTTAGCACTCCACATACAGGACATTTTTCAAGTCTTTATATTTTACAGTAAAGTTTTATAATTTTCTTTATATAGATCACATAGTTTTCTGGTTTACATTATTCTTCGAAGTTGTTGTTCTACATAGGATCTTTTTCTATTGTTATTAATGGGTTTTTATTCTTTTACAGGTGTTAAAGCCATTACTAAATGATTGCCATTAAAAATAAACCTAAAGTAAAAAAAAATAAATCTAAAGCTGTGTTTCTCAACCTTCACTGTGCATCAGAATCATGCGGGCAGCTTTGAACAAATATTGATGCCTGGCTGGACCCCCAGAGATTCAGATTTAATTAGTCTGGGGTAGGAGCCCAGGTAGCTGTATATTTTTTAAAGCTTCCGGGAATATTATTGTGCAATCAGAGTTGACAAACACATAAGGGAAAATTCAAATCTTTGCCCACAATTTCATATAAGTAGAAAGTTATTGATATTTATATATTTATCATACTATCTAGCAATTTTACTCAGTTGTCTTACTAATTCTGTAAGGCTGCTGGTTCATCACATTGCCTATAAATAATAGTTTTTTTTATCTATCCTGTCCACAGTCTCTATTTTTTGTTTGTCCTGTGCTTTATTCCCTTCATAACTTCCAGAATTATATTTAATAATGTTATAGAAAATATCCTTTTCCTCTTGATTTTAACAGAATTTCACCATTACAAAGGGTGTTGGCCATTGATATGCAATATATCATCTTTATGTTGAGAAAATACTCTATTAATACTTTTCTGGTAGGTTTATTCTTTGTTAAGTCATTAGAGATCATTTTATCATGGACAGTTTGGCGTTTTTATGAAGTGTTCTTCACCTCTGTCAACACTGTGGTAATGGTTTAATTAAGGGACTGAAGGAGTGCTGTACTCTACACAAAATCATATTCTCGAGGAGATGCATTCCCCTCACCATTTGCAGACATCCTCCCTGGGTAGTAAGTAATCAGCATACTCCATACTCCAAGCTGTTACCAAGCCCAGAATTTCAGGTCTCCTGGGTAGCAAAAGCCCTTTCTGGTGCCTAAGGGGTCTCCCACTGTCCACTCAGCTCTACTAACTTGGATTCCCTGAGTTTACTTTGAAATGTTAATGATTAGTAAAACAGTGAGACAGATGTTATAATGGATCCAAAAGTCAATATTTTGGGCAAATGATTACAAGCTCTCATGTATGTTTCTAGTCCTATCTTCCAACCACACTTTTAAAAAGTCAATTACTCACATGAGTAATTTTCAAGCCTTAATAAACTTAAAACCTTAGGAGTTCTTTTACCTTCATGCCGACTATTGCAACTCGCAGGTTCGTGCCGCCGAGATCAACAGCCAAGGCACTCAGAGTTTCGAGAATATGGTCAATATCTTGAGAGATATTCTCCTTCACGGGAGGAAAGCAGAATTTCTTTTGTAGTGGCTCTTGAAGATCAATAGATTTGAGAAACTTCAAAATCCTTGGAACAGCATTTCCGTCCCCATATATCTTTGAACTGCAATATCCAAAACATCAATTAAATTAAATGCTTCTCTCATACATGTTAAATGATGTTGAGGACATGGTATTAATGGAATCTGAGACTTGAGGAAATAGTTTGTGCTTCTTCTTTTTAAAATAACATCTGGATCTCTTCAGCAACCCAGTAACTAAGTAGCTTCATATTACTAATATGATGTCTAATTCCATTGTTGACTGAAATACAATTATTTCCAGCCTGAGATACCATTAAAAAAAATGCCTATATCATCAAAGAAAAAGTATCTTTGTTAAGCCAATTTCAGAATATAATATAGTCTGAGACAATGAATTTTTTTTTTTTATTCTTAGTTTTTAGCTCTACATTCATCAGGGGGAAAGTTATTTTTAGGAAAAAAATTCAAATACAGAAAAATCTCATGAATTCGAAATAGAAAGGAGAGCAGTCTAAATTAAAATGCTGAACTAGACTATTTTTAAAGAAAATCAGTTACATTATTTTCTAATACTTATGTAAATTCAAAGTAGGCTAAAGAAGTATTTCCTAGCAGAAGTACTTTGTCAATTAACTGAGACAAATAAAAACATTATTCTTCAAAACGCTCAGTAGAGTAATAGGGGGTATATTAGTAAGCCCTGTCTTACTAGCAGCTAGGGACCCCTAGGGATGGAGAATGAGAGCTCTGTTAGGATCATTAAACAGTGATCACAGCTTAAAAATGGTGCCCAAGGCAGCTCCCCTTTGAAATCTTTTTTTAAACAGACAGTATCTACTCACCAAGGGTACTGTTTACCAAACTGAAGGTGCAATGCTTGCAATATTTTGTCTTGTGTATCAGCATCCCGGACATGAAGGACATTCTCTCCTGGTAAATCCAGTGACACAGTAAAAGGATTCCAAATTGGGAATACCCAAAGAAGAAAGAAATTAGCAGTGTGTCATGCTCATAATTAGCCCTGAAACCCAGAGGACTTCATGTAAGTTGTCTTCTTTTAGAGAGATATCAGCTTTTCTACTTTATACCTTTTAAAGCACTCTCGGCAAGATATCAAATACTTAAGGGCATTAGGGTCCTTTATTCTCAAAGAGAATAAATCAAGTTTTTGTATGTTTATTAAAATAAGGTGGATTAATCTAGTACCCACTTGTCACTCATCTAGTCATTTAGCATATCCACTCTTTCAATCTGTTCTGCCTTCTACTCAGCCAGTTGTTTGATCAGCTGGTCAGGCCAGCTTGGTCAGTTAGCCAATTATCTAGTCAGCCGTTCAGGCAGTCACTTTCTCTCCATATATTTTCTGACCGATATGAAGGAGTAAATACAGTGAACTTGCTGTGTTTTTCAATAGACTTAGCTAAGAAAAGGAGAAGAGCAGAAGAGGGTGGCTGGAGAGAAGTGTGGGGTCAAGGAAGGTGTGGGTGGTCTATTGTTTTTACGATATGAGAGGCCAGGGAATGTTTAAATGATGAGGAAGCTAAAGATACATGGAAGAAAGAGGATGACTGATAGGTCCCCGAGAAAGGCAGGAGGGGTGATTTAGAACATAGAGGGCTAAACAGTAAACAAGCAAGAAGACCCCATACCTCACACCCTCCAATGAAAAAAAGAAGGAAAGGATGGATGGCCATGTTTACATAAGTGTGGAGGGAGAAAGTACAGAGATTGCTTTTAACAGAAGACCACATTGCCAAATCCGGTGTTCAATTCTCAGCAGCATTCAACATCCCCTCCTGGAAATACTTTTCTGGGAGTTAATGATATTATACTCCTCTGACCTCACTAGCAGGTCTTTTTCAGTTTTCCTTGATGGGCCTTCTTCTCCTCACCAGAATTCTAAATATTGCAGAGCTCCAGAGGTTGGTCCTGTGCTCCATTCTCTTTCCTACTTACATGTTCCTCCTGGGTAATCTCATTTAGTCCCTTGGTTTTAAATACCATCTCTGGCAGAGTGTACCATTATCCTCAATATACTTTCTCTGGACTAGTAACAGAAATCTTAGCCATGGCATCTGTTTACCCAGCTAGAGTATATTCTTCAGCTTCCCTTGCAGCTAGACATGGCCATGTGACTACATTCTGAAAGGATGTATGAAGAAATATTTGTAACTTCAGGCCATTAGAGAACTCAATTCCACCCTCTCCCAAATCTGCTCTTCCCTCAGTGTCCCCCATGTCGAGAAAGAATATCTCCAATGCTTAATTCAAAAATTTAAGAGTTATTGATTCCTTTCTTCCTTCCACTACTCACATCCAAGCATCAGCAAGTACTATAACAAACCCCAAATCTAAATTTTCTCCATCTCTAATACTACCTCATAGTCTAAGACACTATCATCTCTCATATGAACTGAAATAACCTCTTAACTGGTCTCCCGGCTTCCACTCCTGGCCCACCACATTCCATTCTCCATAGAGCAGCCAGAGTGATCTTTCCAAAATGCAAGTCATACTGTGCTACCCTCTCTCTTAAATGGCTTCCCATCATACTTAGAAAAAATCCAAATTATGTACCCTGGCTTCGGTCTGCCTCCTTCTCTAACATCATCTTGTGTCACTCTTCCTCTTCCCTACTACTCTACAGCTACACTGACCCTTCTGTTTCTCAACTATCTCAAGCTTGTTCCTATCGTAGGGTCTTCACGATGGCTTTTCCCTCTGCCTCTCCCTGATCCTCACAAGATTCCTTGTCATTCAGATCTCAGCCAGCTTAATTGTATCTCCTAAGAGGCCTTCTCTTATCCAATCTAATGTAGCCCATCACATTAACTTGTATCATAATCTGCACAGCACGCAGAAATATATATATATTTTTTTGGTCTATCCTCTCCCCTCCCACTAGAATGGAAGTTATATGAGAGCTCAGACCTTTTTAGACTAGTTTACAGCTGAATCCCAGTGCCTAGCACATAGTAGGTACTTATTAAATATTTCTTAGTGATTGAATTAATGAACTTGAAAGAATTTTCATCTAATGACTTCTAATTTGTCTTTGAAGTAGGGAACAAAGTAATACTTTGGGAATGAAAGGGGAAGAAGGTCTAAAAATAACAAAGTTACAGTGGCATTTATGAAGAGTAGGAGAGCACAGCTGGAACTAACCTTGATTCTAGTCTAGTTCTTTTTCTATTAACCACATACATTTTTTCCATTAGCTATAGAAATATATTTGCATGTAAACAGCATTAGAACTTGGACTAATGTTACTAATAGGATAAGCTCAGTAAGCAAATTCATTAATAATAATCCTACTTAATTAGTTATTACGGGAGCATCTTACTTAGACTTGCCATGCTCTAACATACTGACTAAAGGGACACTATAGGCCCAGAAAATGAAAGACTAGCATTCATATACCAATAACACATTCAACCACATTCTCTCTTAAACACCCATCAAAGACCACAAATAACTAAGAAACTCTTAGCTCTCACTTATATTACAAAGACAATACAAATATAAGTAGAACCCTAAAAAAATTTGGTAATCACTGTGTGCTATTTATGGATTTTATGCTACAACTGGTAATTAACCTCATTCACTCACTTGTTGATAAAAATGTATGCGGGCACTGACACATGCACACTTTGTAATAATTCATACATATGTATTAAGCCTAGTCAGTTGAAATATAAGCAAAGATAAATAAATACCTGTTTCTCTTCCAATCTGACGTGTTCCTAGGTTGATCACAGGTGTTCCAAAAGCTCCAACCTCTCGTACCCCACAGCTGCTGTTCCCAATCATACAACCAGCATGGGCAACCAACTGTATAAACTGGTCAAATGGGACATGTTTAACTGCACGAAAATTAGGGTGATGTTCAATGCCCTTCTTCCGCATCACTCGAACCATCTCTTTGCTCCCTGTGAAAATGAAAAGAACCAATTGTTGCATGTTTTATGAGATAAAGAAACAATTTTCATTGGCAAGTATAACCCCACTTAAAGAATTCTCCCCATAAAAACTCATAACAGTTATTAGGGAAATAGTAATTTTAATTACTGATCTTTTCATAAGTGATGAATGTCTAAAATGGCTGGTCAGCTCTCAGCTTCAAACTCATCTAGAAACTTTAAATGGCAGCAGCTAGAACTTTTCAAACAGCACTGAGCAAAGCAAATACCTTTCTTTTATTCATGCTCCAGCAGAAGTCTTTACCTTGAACAATTAAGAGGCTAGAGACAGGCCAACAATCTCTATCCCTTAAGACAGCAGTTCCTAAATGGAAAAGTGTCAGGTTCCAGACACCAAGCTGATCCGACATGCTCACATTTATCATACTAACAACAAGGATAGCACTCCAACTTACATGGACTAAGCTCCAAGAAAGTACAGAGATTCTGATACTGTAGCTGATATCTTATTTTAAATACATGATTTTAAAAGATGTTACAGGTATATGAGGGGGAGGCAATATTTAATGCCTCTGCTTGCCTCTCTACTTGCCTTTTTCTAGCTGCCCAGGGAGGCAAAGTTGCTAATCTGGTTGGTTAGACAGCAGAAGAGCAACCACACTACCATTCACCAGTAGGCAGGAGTCACAGATTTAACAGAAGCTGGGCGTGCGGTATTCTCTCTTAACCTTCTCCATGTGGTGAGGTGGGTGATAGGCTCGGGGTCTAACTCCTTAGCACAGGCCTGGCCACTTCTTCCCTGCTAGAGCATGCCAGTCATTGCCTATAATTACTAGTACATGAAATGCCAGAAGGTGCTACTATTCCAAGATTTGGATTTGGCTCAGTTGAAGTTTTTTCTTTGGCTTTAAGCCTACACCACAGGTATCAATCCTGTTTTCCAGAGAGTTCTACATTAGGGAACTGGGCGCTAAGCCATAATAAGAAAGTAATGCCCTGATTCTCATTTCCCTCTGTTCTTTGTGAATATTTTATCAAAAACCCTGTGCAGAGGAGAGGTTAGTGGTAGGCATGATTTAGGTAGGC